TGCTCATCACCTGACTGTTGGATCACAGTAATGTGATTGTGGAAATAGAGTCAGTACAGAGCCAGTGTGCAGTAATTCTTGAAAAGTTTGATTATATCTCTTTCCACATTGGTAAAAGGCCACATATCTGTCCTTTTGAGGAAGGCTAGAAAAAAAGACCCAAAGTGTACATATTTGGCAGTGCTATTCGGTCTTTCCTCTAGGAGACTAATGTCTTCATTCAAGGAATTCTGGGTCTGTAAAGTGACTGAAATCTGGAAACTGAGTAAAGGGTTGAGTCTCTGTTTTGTATTCATGTTAGACTTTTGCTCACTTAGTCTAAAAGTTTTCCTGTTTATACAGGTCAGGTGAGAATTTAATAGCCTTCCCATCTATTTCACTTCCGGAAACACCATGATCAAGTTGTCAGTGTGGTCAGTTGGTGGGAATGAGACTATTCTGGCTGCTGCTTTGACTCTGCTGTCCACTACAGCAATTATGTCCACCTTGCATTTGGTGATTCATTGCCACCACTTGGTCCCTGCCACTCTAGGATCCAATTATTCCCATGGCATTTAATGACCCCACTTCAAGGACCATAACACTTACTGCAATGTCAGATTACAGAGAAAAGTGACCAAGGATGCTGGGCCATAAAGTTATTTCTGAGAGTCCCAGCAAAAAAAGTGTCCTCTAGACACTCCTCCATCCACACCCCACAGTGGGTAACGGGTGAGCAGCACTTACATGATAAATTTGTTCTAATACCCATTCTCCCTAATCTTTTTTAAAAAGTTTTTTCTTTTTTTTAATTTATTTTTTACATCATGTTCATTTTTAAAGAATATTTGCTTCCCCCCACTTCCCCAAGTGTAGTCCCCATAGAACTTCCTTCACCGAAGCACCCGCGCACCATCACCTCAGTCCCCTGTGCTCCTCCTTCCCTCCCTCTGATCCCTCTCCCTCCTCTTTCCCTGCAGGATGTCTCTGATTTATAATTGTCTGTTTTTGTTTTGTTGTGTTTTTTTTTTTTTTTGCACTGATGCCTTATTTAGTTCCTCTATATTCCTCCTATAAGTGAAACAATCTGATATTTTTCTTTTTCCTTCTGACTTATTTCACTGCATTCTCCCTAATCTTTTGGTAATCTTCCAGAGCAGTATGCCAAGGCATTTCCAGTATTTCCCCTTCATTTAGTGTGGTTCATCTCTTGGTCTTTGTTTCAGTCAACTAACCAAACAAACTGTTTGAGCTCCTTGTAATTTCTCTCTCTATGGCACTGCATCCAGATTTCTGCTCAGAAGTTTATATCGTTAAATCTAGCCTGATACAACTTTATGTTACTTCCACCATTTTCCCTCCATCCTTAATAACCCTGCTAATATAGTCACTCTGTCCCAGGACATACTGACTTGTAAGCAGTCAAGTCTATATGGCTTCATTCACAGTTTCTTTTGACGACATCTCTGAAGCTTCTCCTTTTGTTCTAGAGCGATCCTTCCCATTCCTCCAGAAAGTCTTCCTCATCCTTCACAATTGTTCCTTCTTACACCTGAACTGCAACACATTTTGTGCCAAGCCTTAGCTCTTGACAGGTCTACTGCATGTTGTTTAGTTGTAAATGTGCAGGTTTATCTTCCTGACAGGAGATGAGCTTCTTTTTTTTTTTTTTTTAAGATTTATGTATTTATGCATACAAGAATTGGGGCACAGGCCAGAAGTGCAAGGGGTGAGAGGATTCACCAGAGACAGAGCAGGGAACAGAACAGGCGCATTGACTGAAATACACTGCTTAGGGGAGCAGCAGGTGAGTCAGGAGAGGTTTGCTGCACCATGTGGGTAGCTCCCTGGCTGGGGATCAGACTCATGCTGTAACAGTGTGGTCCCCAGGAAAGGGGGAGGTTCCAGGTTTCCTGCCCTACCCAAAGGGTGGGTGGAGCTGAGCAGGGAGAGAAGAAGCTGCAGAGGAGACTAAGGAAGGAAGGAAGCAGGATGGAGCCAGAAGGAGACCTGGAGGAGGCACATGGCGCTGAGAGACACGTGAAAAAACTATGCTTGCCTTTCGGTCGTGGACTGGGTGACACAGATGTGGGTGAGAGACCTGTGGGGAGGTGACAATGGTGGTTTTTGTCTTGATTTTGATTTTGCTCTTTTCCTCCCAAACTTGTCTGATTGTTTCTGATCCTTTTCTGTGGGTCCCCACTGAAAGGTGCTTTGGACTTGTAACATAAAGTTGTATCAGGCTTTCGGGCCTTGTTGTGGGCCAATCCTGCTTGGGTGGACTTTTACCCACGAGGGGATGGGTAACTTTGGGTGCTTGATTTAGAAACTATATTTTTTGCCATCCCTGCATTGTTTACTAATTGCATTAAAGTTCTTTTCATTAAAGTCTCATATGTTTTGTGTTGATGCAGTGGATGGCAGAACCTATTTAGAGCAGGCAGATTTGCGGGGTCTGGGGTGCCCCTCTCCGTGATGTGTAACAGTGCTGCTGTGGCTGCCAATAGCTTCGTAGGTTGCGACTTAACCTCTTGCACCACCAGGGAGCCCCAGGAGATGAGCTTCTTCTTCTTCTTCTTCTTCTTCTTCTTCTTCTTCTTCTTCTCTTCTTCTTCTTCTTCTCTTCTTCTTCTCTTCTTCCTCCTTCTCTTCTTCTCTTCTTCTTCTTCTTCTTCTTCTTCTTCTTCTTCTTCTTCTTCCTTCTTCCTCTTCTTCTTCTTCTTCTTCTTCTTCTTCTCTTCTCCTCTTTCTCTTCTTCTTCTTCTTTCTTCTTCTTCTTTTTCTTTTTTCTTCTTTTCTCTGGCATGTCTGAATAATTTATTATGCTCTCTGTTCAAGTCTTGACTATTACATGTCTTAGAAAATTCATGACAGAGTTCTGATAAGAGATTTCTTACCCTAGGGACACAAATTTCTATCCTTGGAATTCAAAAGAGACACATTCCAAAATTAGATTTAAGAAAATTTTGCTGTCTGTGCACTCTAATAGCATTATAATCCTAATTTTATATCCCTTAATAAAATTTTATGAAAAATTACACAAATGATTATTTTGCATTAACAAAACATTCTAACATGTACCTAAGCAAAAATCATTCCATTCAAATACATCTTGTTTTGCTAATAATCTGTGAAGCCCTTTAATAGCTACATTGACTTAGAAGTAACTGAATAGAAAATCCAGAAATAAACCCACAGATTTACGGTCAACTAATCTTTGACAAAGGAGCAAAGAATATGCACTGGAGCAAAGAAAGTTTGTTCAATAAATGATGCTGGGAAAACTGGGTTGCTACATGCAAAAGAATGAAGCTTGACTACTACCTCACACCATGCACAAAAACAACACAAAATGGATTAAAGAACTAGACATAAAACCTAAAACCATAAAATATATAGAAGGAAATATAGGTGAAACACTACATGACATACACCTCAGTAACTTCTTGACAGACACATCACTCAAAGCAGTGAGAATGAAGGCAAAGACAAACAGCTGGGACTACATCAAATTAAAGAGATGAGCTGCTGCTTTTTTTTTTTTAAATCTCTGTAGTTTTTATGTACTATGTTGTGTCCAATACAGTTTAAGCAAACATAACAGAATAAAGGATAAAATGTTCAAAATCTAAGAGAAAGTATTAGATAATAGAATTAGACTCACATAGAGACATTAGATTCAGTTATAATTCTAAAACCATGTGATTAATAAGTAAAGAAAAGAAATGACAACATTGAGAATTTCTCCAGAGAACTTGATCTATAAGAAATGTCAAATAAAAATCCTATACTGTACTGAAAATCCTATAATGAAATATATAATAATTGAATTTAAGATTTAACTGATTAGACGCAGAAGATAGATTATTGAAATCAGAAAGTAGAAAGTGAGTAGGAGTAGATGTTCAAAAATGATATGTGAGCATAACTTTTTGACTCTTCTGAGAAGTGGCCTGGTCGGAGAGAGTCCTCTCCGCCTGCTGGGCAGCAGTCCAAGGCACAGCTCGCGGTCTAGGCTGAGTTCCTAGGCCCCTGAATCAGCTCCTCTCTACTTGGGTTCATTCAAGAAGGCTTCTGTAACAACCCTTAGGTAGTATCTGCCTGAAATGGTTCTTGCCCATCAGAAGCTCATCTCTTTGAAATCAGAAAGTAGATCTTTGAAATCAGAGAGCAGATCTTTGAAATCAGAAAGTAGATCAAAGAGATGAGCTTCTGATGGGCAAGAACCATTTCAGGCAGGTACTACCTAAGGGTTGTTCCAGAAGCCTTCTTGAATGAACTGAAGAGGAGAGGAGCTGTTTCGGGGAGCCTAGGAGCTCAGCCTGGACCACAAGCTGTGCCCTGGACTGCTGCCCAGCATGTGGAGGGGACTCTCTCCGACCAGTCCACTTCTCAGAAGAGTCAAAAAGTTAAGTTCACATATCATTTTTGAACATCTACTCCTACTCACTTTCCCAGGGACGCCTGTCATCTCCCCTCTCTCTCCCTACCTTGCATAACCAAGTCCCTCTCCTCGCCAAGCTTCCATCAGCCCTTGGGTCACTTCCCTAATCGCGCTACTGGGAGGTGCTGGGGGAGGCCACCAGGAAGGCCTCGGGGCCTCTCCTTTCCTGTCCCCGCGCGCCCCCATGGCGCGCCCCCGCAGCGGGATCCTTCAGAAACGCGCCCGAGCAAAAAGCAAACTTTCCACAGGTCCCAGGAGGTAGGCTGCCTGCCTGCCCGCCCCGCCCCGCCAGGTCGCGTGCGTGAGTGTGTGTGTGTGTGCGCGCGCGCGCGCGTGTGTGTGTGTGTGTGTGTGTGTGCGCGCGTGAGAGTGTGTCCGCGCGCGCGCGCAAGGGGCCGGGGCTAGGAAGGAAACTGGCGCCTCGCGGAGCTGAAGGAAGGAGCCTCCCCCTTCCTCGCCAGCCCCCTCCCCACTTCCCGTCCAGCGCTGCGCTCGCCGGCCCTGGGGCGCCCGGCGCCTGCCCGCAGCCGGGGAGTTGGAGGCGGCCGAGGCGGAGCGGGAGGAGCCGGCGGGGCGCATGCCGGGTGGGGGTCCTCAGAGCGCCCCGGCGCGTGGCAGCGGGGCCCTCCGCTCAGGTAGGGGCGCTGTCACCGGGGCCCGGCGGACTGGGGTGTCAGGCGGGGAGGGCGCGCTCTGGGGGGCGTGTAGGTCTGGGGGTGTGTCTCCATTAGCAACTTGGGTTAGTGCACCCCTTTCGAGGCGAGGGAAACTGAGGCAGGGCGCGTGGATTGCTGGTCTGGAGCTGCCAGCCGGCGCCAGGTCGAGCCGGGTCCTTGCTTGGGACAGCGCGGAGTCCCAGGAGCGGCAGTTTTGGAAATTGCGCTGCTCGCACCCGCGCGCGGTGGCGGGTCCTGGTGGCGGAGCAGGCGTGGCTGGGGTTTGGATCAGCTCCCGGACGCCGCGCCGCCTTGGCCCCGGGGGGTGGGGTTCCCTCCTCTGCGCACCCGCTGGTCAGGGGACGCCCCGCCGGCACAGGTCAGGCATCCTAAGGAATTTCGGGTTCCACCCGGCCAGGGGCCTGGCGGAAGAGGTTGGGGGTGGGTAAGGAACGTGGTGCTGGCACCTCCCGAGGGTGCTTGCAAACAGTTTCGTCTCCTCCCACTTCCCAGTTGGCGACTGTAACGCCCATTGCGGGGCTGGGGAGGGACCGCTCGGTTTTCATCCCCAGAGCACGGGTCACACTCTGGATTGGTACTGAAGCCAGTAAGTGAGGGTTGCTTTTCTAGCATGACAGGATTTCTGCCTTCGCACTCTTAAAATATATGCAATGGGATTTGAAACTTTTAAGAGAATGACATTTGTGAGTCAGGGAGTGCTGTGTGGCGTCCTTATGGGGCCGCGAGAGGGCCGGTGACTTCAAACACTTCTCTCAGAACCTCTGAGAGCCTCGGATCTCTCAAGTGTAAAAGAAAATACTGACAACCTGGGCCTTCCTGTGTCAGATTTGTTGTGAGAGCACATTGCAAAATGTATGGCCAGTAGGAAAATGCTATTTTTTAAAAGATTTATTTATTTATGCATACAAGAGCTGGGGCACGGGCCAGAGGTGTGGGGGGGTGAGAGGATTCACCAGAGACAGAGTGGGGAACAGAACAGGCAGGCTGACTGAAGTACACTGCTGAGGGGAGCAGCAGGCAGGACAGGAGAGGTCTGCCGCGCCATGTGGGTTGCTCCCTGGCTGGCCAGGAATCGAACTCAGGCTGTAGTGGCTGCGGATTGCTTCACAGGTTGCCTCTAAACCCTTGCGCCACCAGGGAGACCTGGGAAAATGCTATTTGGATGATCCCAGCATCCTAAGCCCTGGAATTTGGGGACTGCCTGCATCTCAATCTTGGGCTTAGCCCTACCTTAGTTTCCCTGTTTGTACAATGGAGACTACACAGTGTCCCCCTTGTATGATTGTTATGGTGTTTAAAGGTGCAGTGGATGTGGATCACCTAACCTGGGGCATATTATATTTAGTAAGCTCTACATAAATGACTTTAGCTGCTAATTGTTACAAAACAAAACCTAAATAATTTGGAATGTGATGGAAATACCAGTTTGGATGTGATGAAAATATGAATAGCAGAGTGTTTTAAGAGAAATTTAGTTTTATTACATCCAAGCATGGCACATGAAGTCTGTTGAAGGTCAGTTGAGAATCTGAGCAAAAAAGAGGTCAGGGTCAGCTGAGTTTGATGACCTTGGGCCCCAGTTTCCTCCTTTATTTACCAAAAAAGGTAAAAGAAAAATGGGACAATAATTTCTGCTTTTTGTACTGTAAGAGTTGAATGAGGATCAAATGAAGTACAAGTAGCGAAAGCATCTTGAAGGGTATGGGGCACTAGGCAAATACAAGACATCCCCTCTATTGGGAGGAAATAATGGTTTCTGTGATTTTTTTTTTTTTTAGAGCTTACAGTGTGTTGGGCACTCCACTAGGAATTCCTTTGATGAAATTTGCCCTGAACATTTGTGAGACAGTTATTTATAAGCCTTATTATCCCTGCACAAAGCTGAGATTCAGGGTTACTCTGCTTTCCCCCTAAGTTCACATTGCTGTTAAGGGTAGAACCCTAGTACTGGATCCTCTCACCACTGTGTTCTCCATGAACTACCGAATTGAAGCTACAATGATGAGCTATGTTTCAGGGTGGACCTATGTTAGATTAAGGTAACAATGTATCCTACATATTTATAGACTACAAAATAAAAGTGAATTATTAGCCCTGGCAGAAGAGACTTTGAAATGATGTTAATTTCTTTTATTCTGACTTTAGAATCCCATTTCAAACGATCTTTTTGAAAAAAATTAAACAATGAAAACTTACAGAGAAAAAAAGGCATTAAAACCTTGACAGAACATATTGCAAGGACTCATTGCAGATATCAAACTAAATAGAATTTAGTCTGAATTTATGCTGTAATACTTAAATTTGTTAGCACCCTTAGGTTCCACTTGGGATTGAGGCTTTTGGTGTCATGGTTACCTTGCAGGACTGGGACCGAGGATGTTTCTGCAGGGATCTCAGCATTTACTCAAGATAACACCAGAAGGAAATAGACCTCCAGAGAAAGTCTGCATCTGAGAAAGAGTGCATGCCAGGTCCCTGTGCTACAGAAGCAACCTCTAATTTATTTGTTTCCTAAATGAAGCTTTATGTATTTACATGTATATATATATCCATACACATATATATACACGAATATGTATACATGTATATATATTTGCTTTCCAAAAGTAAAACATGCTCATTATAGGAAGCACAGAAAACTACAAACAAGACAAAAACATTAAAAAAAACATTGTAATTTCACCAGTGCAGACAAATAGCTTGGTGTTTCTGTTCTTGTAATCTATTCTGTGTTATGTTCATCAATTTATATCTGTTGCAAAATGGGATGCAAACTATAATTGTTTTGCTAAATTACAACATAATGCTTGCTTATTGCTTGAATATTTAAGATATTAATTTAGGTAAGTCAAATTTTATGATGCTCATTGAAACTTTTAAAATAAACTTAAAAATTTGATTGGAAGATTAGAGATTAAATTATTGAGGATTGAATTTTATTATAAGTTTTGATTAAAATTTGATAAAAGGCCTTCAGAGCAAGGAGAGAGTATTATGAGAACTTTAAATGATAAGATCTAGAACTAGCACAGTTTCTGAGTGTAAATACAGGTAACATTTTAGATTAGGGTCATTAGTCCAGAGTTAGAATTATTCTTTTGCTATTGATGATGATAATTCAGTTTATTTTCAGGGTTCTCATACAAAGAATATTGATTCCAGAGATGCCTTTGGCTGCCACCCTGGAGATGCACAGCCTCCCTCTGGCACAGCTGGGGCCACCTGTGGCCAGCCATTTTTCAGTCAGCACCATTTAATGCAAGACTTTTTGCCATTGGGAGTCTTCTGTTGTTTGTTCTTGATTTTATTTTATTTTTTCTTATATGTAAACCTCTTTAATACAAAATTATAATAGAGAAAATGTACTTAAATGGGTAATCAAACTGTTTTTGATTTTAAAGACTTTGTGGTGAAGGTTCCTTAGCAAATGTTTTTTGGCAACAATCATTCAATTTTTTTGAATTCTTGCCACAGATACTTTGACCATACATATGCTTTGACCAATCACCATTCCAAACCCACTTTTTCTTTTGAAATCATAATTTTCCTCTTTGAGTACAGACTTTGCAATCAGCTTCCAATTTGTCACATCGTGTGGACATGGGAAAGAAGTGTGCCTAACCAATGACTATTATTTATATTTGGCTCTGGAAGGCAGTCAAAGGCCCACATGGTGTGCTCAGCTGCTGACATGATCACTGGTTTTGTGTTGGCTTCCTTTAGCCTCACTGTCTTTCCTTTTGGCCACTTGCTTCCTGTCTTGTCTCAGATATGGATAGTAGATATTGTGGGACTTCCTCTAATAACTAGGGTTGCTGGTCATTGAATGTTATAAACAGAATCATAGAACTTAATACTGGATGACGCTTCAAAAGATCAATTGGTTAAATCTCTTGAGTTCTGGCCAGCGAGGCGTCCTTAAGTGTGGTTAACAAGTGCAACTGCAGAAAACTATGTGTTTGGTCAATATAGTGGTAGCCTGGTCTCAAATGAAGTAATTAAAATAAATAGCCCTTAATTATCTTTCTCATGTCAACTTCAGAGTAATTTCCTAGCACATAGCCTTGTGCTCATGCTGAAAATATGTGGATAAAAGCTTATCTGTTTAACCCCAATACTTGGCCCTCCTGACAGAACTTTTACCCTTTATTTGCAGATGGGTTTGTATGTTCAATGAATGCAATTAAAACAGTAAACTCCATGAGGTGGGGATAGCAATCTCTGAGGATAGAAAGACCATTTGATCCTAGAATACTGGCAATTGTAAATGACAGTGGAGATCATAGAATCTGGCCTATGTACCTTTTATTTATTTATTTATTTATTTATTTATTTATTTATTTATTTATTTATTTATACAAGCACTGGGTACAGTCAGAAGCAGGGGAGGGTGAGAGAATTCACCAGAGCCAGAGTGGAGAGCAGAACAGGCAGACCGATGAAATACACTGCTGAGGGGAGCAGTGGGCGGCAGGGGAGGTCTGCTGCGGCCAGGGTTAGAACCTGCGCTGCAGAGGCTGCAGGCACCTTCGCAACCCAGCACTCAACACCTGCGCCACTGGGGAGGCCCTGGCCTATGTACATTTTAGGCACAAAAAGTGAGGGATAGCAGCAGAGTGTTAGAATCTGGGTTTCTCGTCTCTTAGCTTTCCTCTTTTGGCCAGAGCCACCATCCCCCAGGAAGTGGCCAGAGTGAACAACACAAAGGGAAAGAGGAAATGCGCCTGCCACATGTCCTCTAGGCCTTTTAGAAAACATGGAGTTGTCCCTTTGGCCACATACATGCAAATCTAGAAGAAAGGTGATAGTGTAAACATCAAGGGGGAGGGCACTGATCAAAAATGAATGCCCCATACATGTTACCGTGGCAAAACCTTGCTTCATTCTGTAGTTCTGCAGAATTCATACCTAATTAAGAAATATTAAGTGAATTGAATGAAATCCTTGTTATTATTATT